TAGCTATTTATGCAGTGTGTAATTTTGTTGTTCATATAAATGCTTGAACAAATTCACAAATTTGGTTGAAATTTGTATTGGAATTCCATCGGATTTAAGAATTAACTTGAAGAGAATTGGTATCTTTATAGTATCGGGTCATGTCGAAGCAGGGATATCTATGCACTTACTCCATTTTAAGCCAATTTCTACATTAAAATTTCAGAAAAATGTAACATATAACACATGAGTACACATATAATTGTTGTGTAATTTAGTTTTTAATAATATATGTATTCTGTTCCATTCTTTTCTTTTGCTAAGATTTAATCATTGCTCTTCAACTAAACTGTAATTGTGTTGAAGACAAGGGCCATGATTTTAATTTCTTTTTTTTTTCTTCACTGTATTTCAACCTAGTGGGGCATAATGAATACCAGGTGTTTTTTTTTTGCTTTTTGTTTTATTTTCGTTTTGCTTTATTTTTTACATTGTTGCCTCTTTTCCTCCCCTCTTTACTGGTTTGCTTGCCCCTTCCATCTGCCTCTCCTGGGTCAAAATGCCTAATGCAGCTGTGTAACAGTAGCTCACACCTACCTCCATTTATCGAGTGAGGCTAAGCACATTTTTTTGCAGTGTGGTGCATTTCCTCTGGGAATGAGCAATGTAACTTAAAACTCTGCTGTGTCAATAAGTCAAGGTGAGTTTCCAGCTTTATAAAACTGCATTCCCAACCATTAGAAAGATGTTAACATTTATTGCCAAGCTGTCTCTTAAATATCCTGTAATAAAAAGCCAAAATACGCTATCTTTTTTTTCCCAATTTCACCCTTAAGCTGCATTTTCATTACCACATTTTTTTGGTAAAGTGCTATAACATTCTTTATTGAAATTTTTACTGTTTCACGTGATCCCATAATAGTCTCCTTTGATCTAAAGGAAAAAAAAGTTTTATTTTCTTGAAAGAAAAGAAAGTGTCATAGTGGGTCCTCTTTATTTTGCTAGTGACATGACTAACCCCTACCCTTTGGCTATTACTGCCTTGTTTCTGCTTTTCAAGCTATATAATTATGATGATCCAGAGACATGATTTGACCTGTACCTTATCCAATGCATATAATAATAAGCTCTATGATAATGAGGTTTTCCTGGTTTAAAAGCTGTTTTAATCTGATTGTGTCACTGGACAAGGAATTAATCAAGTCAGTTTGCTTTGGGACTGTGGATAGTGAGAAGCAAGGACCACATTTGAAAGAAATAATTAAAAGTCTGATGCTGAATAAGTTGAGGCCACTGAAAGAAGCAGGAGATCTCTTGGCTCTAGTACTTGAAGAACGCAAATGTCTTTGGAACGGCTTGGCATGCCTGAGATAAGACACTGGTGGTGATATTTATGCACTAATCAATATTCTGATTCAGTTGAGGAGAAAACAAAGTTAATCTGATGTCACTGGGTCTTTATGGCATTTAGAATTTTTCATGAAATGTTTTCTGGTTACAGGAATACAAAGTAATGTATACTACACTAACACCTTAAAAACCAAAGTGTGTTTGCTCAGAAAAGCCATCTTATAGCTAAAATATTAATGCAGCAGAGATACACATTCCCTTTTTAATAAAAAATAAAGAGAGGTGCTGGGTCATAATGTCCAGGGCTATCCCCTGAATCTTTGAAAGATATGGACCACCTTCACTCTATTCAGTGTGCTCAGCCTTGTAGGGCTGACTCTGGAATTCAAAAGGGTCTCATCCTCCCCTCTGGGAATGCTCATGTGGGAAACTGCAAGTCTCTGCAGCTTGTTTTTGTGACAATGGTGTACAGAAGGACACACTGGTTAATGGGTTAGCCAAGTAATACAGGATTCTGAGAGGTGGGGGACTTGCAACTATTTCTGAACATTTTCTTCTGAGTTAAGAGTGTGATGATGAACACCCCTGATGTTTGTCTGCATTTATTCTCCCAACATATTTTTTGAACATCTATACTCTGTAAATGTACCATAATAGATTCCATTTGCCTCCTCTATGGTGATCCCTAGATGAAAAAGACAAAGATATTGCACTTATTTTGGGTAGGGAGTTAAGGCAGGAGCAGAAATGACAGCCATACAAATGAGAAAGGGGTAAGCAGCCTGAGAGGAGCATAGGTATGTGTTATTCATCACAGAGATTTACGATGACTTGGCTACAAAGAAAATGCAATTTGACTTATTCTTCTCTATTTAATGAAATATGAAAATAAAAAGAACTGCCTGAGTCTTGTCTGTAGACTAGATATGTATTATAATGTATTTAATAATTAAAAGGGGAAATGTGATTGCTTCACATACAGAACAAGGTCCTGATTATGGCAGCACATCTCTAAAAATTAAGGCTGCTCAAGGTCACACTTCAGGAAATCTTGCTTTTTTTAACTGGGACATTTGTCCTGTGTGTAATCATAAGGAAGTACTTATCCATGTCTTCAGGAAATAGTCATTTCTAATGCCTGAGTTAAAAAGAAAGAAAAAAGGAAAGAAAAGAAAAGAGAAAAAAGAAGAGGAAACAAAACAATTTACAATGATGCTCAGTGTTTGGTTCCCTAGAATTTTAGGAGCTTGTAGCTCTGAGAACTGTCTGTAAATAAGACATTTGGAGTGGGGTTTCTCAAACTGGGCACATGGATGTAATCTTGAGATTCTGCATATTCTTTTAGACTTTATTTTTGTTTGTTTTTGCTTTTATAGAGTGGGGGGTGTGCAGAGGGAGAGGGAGAGAGAGAATCTTAAGCAGGCTCCACACCCAGCACAGAGCCCGACATGGGAGTTTGATCTCACGACCCTGAGATCATGACCTGAGCTGTAATCAGAAGTCCGACTCTTAACTGACTGAGCCTCCCAGGCACCCTTAGATTTTAAAACTTTTTAATGATGATTTTTTAAAAGATTTTATTTATTTATTTGACAGAGAGAGAAATAGCAAGAACAGGAACACAAGCAGGGGGAGTGGGAGAGAGAGAAACAGGCTCCCCGCCGAGCAGGGAGCCCAATGCAGGGCTTGATCCCAGGACGCTGGGATCATGACCTGAGCCGAAGGCAGACGCTTAACAACTGAGCCACCCAGACACCCCTTTAATGATAATTTTTAATAAATATATTTGACCAGCTATAAAGATGAAACATTCCTCTTCCCTGTGATAACAATTAAAAGACATTTTTTATAAGACTTTAGATTAATAAGTTATTGTTTCTCAGATAGGAGTCATCAAATCCTTGAGAATTTCTTCTTTTACTTACAGTTGAGAAACATTGGCTTAAACCATCACTGCATATTGGAGTTCACTATTTGATTACTCCTTTGGGGCTTAGTATTTTTAAATGGCTTTTATGCCAATGATTTCCAAAGCTGGTCAGGCAATGATTTATATTATTAAAGTGATCACTAGATTGATTGATTTAATGATTGACTTATTAATTTTCTAGGTATGTCGGTGATGTTTTAAAGTTTTTTTTATACTGAAAAATTTGTGACTAGCTCCCTTTCTTTTGTGTATTCAAATGGAAAACCACTTAGGAGAGCCCTGGGAGCTCTCAGGAGAAAGGGACAAATATGTACATTTGAAATAAAGAAAAAAACTGTTGGGCGCCTGGGTGGTTGAGTTGGTTAAGCGACTGCCTTCGGCTCAGGTCATGATCCTGGAGTCCCGGGATCGAGTCCCGCATCGGGCTACCTGCTTGGCAGGGAGTCTGCTTCTCCCTCTGACCCTCCTTCCTCTCATGCTCTCTGTCTCTCATTCTCTCTCTCTCTCAAATAAATAAAT